CGCGATGACTAGTAATGTATCATATTCTCAAGATTGGACATGACTTTTACAAACCGGCTGGTACTGTGCTTGGGACCAAAACTGTACGTAAAGCGCAATGTGAACGTACATTGTTATTTCTATGAGGTACCTAATGTTGCCCCAAACGCGAAAAGTTCAACGAATAGACGTGTGCAGATGTAACGTCTGTCTGTGAGTCGCATCTCAGTGGATATACATGAAGCTAAAAGGCTGCATAACTGACAATAATCAAATATACGGGGAGAGTCGCTAGTCACCTTTTGACAGCAGAGTTGATAAACCTAAAAAAACAGAGCTGATGATAGCATTCCAAATTGACGATGAAAAAAGGGCGACCTACAATGGTGCCTAAAATGTACATATAATTCTTTGGTGCTACACATTGTAGAGATGTACATGATCAGACAAGAGAAGTATTGTTTCACGAAGAGTTGATAATGCAATCAGCTTCCGGAAGAGATAAGAGATAGATCACGAACATATAACAATGACAACTGTTTCAGCGAGAATCAGAGCGTAGTTGTGATTCTTGAATACATGTCTGAGGTCTCCGCCGCCGCACTGTATATATATATATATATATATATATATATACGCACATGCGAGAGCTCGTGCGCTGATTGATGTTTCACGGGAATACTTATTTAAGCTTTTACCACAAGTCGTTGTTATTAAGTAATTGTTAAGACTCACTCACCTGGAACTAGCATGCATCGGGCATAGTCCTGTGGCAGTTTTAATACGCCAACACTTTTTCACAATTAAGCTACCCTGACAAGTAATGACAGTTGAAGTAGAAAGAGTAGGAAGGAAAAGGAAGGCGCTCGAGTAAGTATTTCTGAGCTTGTGTTGTGCTGTGAAAAGAGAAAGAAAGCGATAGGACATCAATGCAGCTAGATAGAAATTGAACCATGAAAATCGCCAAGTAAAAGAGCAATGCCTTAAATGAGTTGAAGTAAAACATTTCAAAAGCGAAGGTGCTGTACCACGCTGAGTGCCGCAGAACGCCCCGCCGCGGTGGCTTAGTGGCTAAGGTACTCGGCTGCTGACCCGCAGGTCGCGGGTTCGAATCCCGGCTGCGGCGGTTGCGTTTCCGATGGTGGCAGAAATGCTGTAGGCCCGTGTGCTCTGATTTGGGTGCACGTTAAAGAACCCCAGGTGGTCGAAATTTCCGGAGCCCTCCGCTACGGCGTCTCTCATGATCATATGGTGGTTTTGGGACGTTAAATTCCACAGATCTGTGCCGCAGAAAGCAAAACAAGTCATGGGACTTACAGGGTTGCGAAACGTAGCCTTTACGTAATATTTGGTCGTTCTTGAAAATGATAGTCTTGAGTCACTTCTTTTCTTTGTACTAGCTCCACTGCGTAACACGTCCATAATTTAAGGCGTATAAGTCACAGTATGATATTATAAACTATAGCTAAACAGTTCGTCAACCTAAAATATCACAGTCTTTCCGCCCGCCTACATAGCTGTGTGTTCCGTGCCGTCATCATTGGTCATTGCGTAGTTCACGTGACCGTTGGTGTAGCTCACGATCTCACGGAGTTTCTCTGGTTTCTCGGGGGAGTCATCCTGGAACAGAGAAATGACACAAGTTAGGCAAGACACTCCCTACTAGACAGTAACGTGGCAAGAAAGTTTCAAGGAAGAGAGGGGGATATTGAAACCTGAAATCCTCCATCCTCTTTCCCCTCCCCTGGCGACACCCGTGTTTTTAGGACTGTGGTTCTCAAACGGAGTAACGCAAAATCGTTTCCCCTTCTGACTGTTTTGTTTCACCGTATGACAAATGTGCATTGCTACAAAGCAAACTTTTCATGAGATGTCTGCAAAGTTCTTGTTGCAGCTTTCTACGATATAGAAGCATACTTTTTCTAGCCTTGCATACTTGTACAGTAAACATAGCTAGAAACAGGCTTAATTGACTCCAGACCGCATAACTTATTGAAAGGTCGTTGAGATCGAATTGACGAGGTACTTTTGTTTCACCATTCTTTGCCAGGTATAAATAAAAGGCAACTATTTCCCGTCGCTTGATCCGTTGGTAATTTTGACCCCCCCCCCCTCATCTCCACGCTTTCTCTCACCGCAATGGATCCCCGATAAGCTCCACCCATGTATGAGAGGTCCCAGGAACATCCATAACTGAGAACCACTCTACTAGGAAGTTATCCCAGGTTATGCTATAATGCGTTTCATTCTCGCCAGTTGCTTATCGGGCTCTTTCCGTTAGAATTATAGCTATAAACATCAATAGAGAAAAATGTTTATAATGAAGAATAATTTAAGTAGTATCATATTGCTTTGCGCGAAGCAGAAGGGTGATTGAAATATTCTTTGATTATCTTATTGCCTACATTAACCTAGGCGTCCTAATCTTTCCAGCATTACAACGATGTCCCTCACCTGGATCACCTCTATCTTCAAGGGCTCCTTGATAACCTGTTTTTGCTCCTTGATGACCTGTTGTTCCTTGGTGTTTTGTTCTTCGTCCTTGGCTCTCGTCCTTATATAGTACTGCCTAATACCCGGTGCTAACAGTCTTGGGTCCACATCAGCCGCGTTCTTTGTTCCTGTGTGCGAACATGACAGCGACGGTCACTCTTTTTACTAATTTGAGTATATAAGATTGATTGATTGATATTTGGGGTTTAACGTCCCAAAATAACTATATATAACCACTGTATATATAACCACTATATAAGTACGCTCTATTAAACTAAGTTGCTTTTGGTATATTTAGTAGATGCATTCTCAGTAGCAGTGCTCTAGCATGCCTAAGCCAGAATAATTTGCACCAGCTGGGCAGTGTTTGCAGACCTTTGTGCTGATTTTGGCTGAAGGAAAGCAGCGAGAAGGAGAAGGTAAAATAAAGGCAGGAAAGTTAAACATATCACACTGGACTTATAAATGTATTTCGTTGGAGGGCAAGTGGAAAGAGGAATAAAGGAAGTGTCGAAATTTGCGGAATCTGGGCAGCTTAACAAATATCCTGGTGAGCTTTATTAATCCCTAAATTTTGTAAGCGGAATTAAGTAGCTTTGAAAACGTTAGACATTCAACTTTGTGCACAATTTTCTTTATTGGCCGTTTGATCGGGACGTCGAACAACTTACTTCAATTTATTAATATTCGCAGGAACAATCATAAAGCCTTTGTGCAGGCGTACGCAAAAATAAAATAATAAAAATAAAAAACTGCTATACAGTGTTGAGAAAAACAAATCAAGAGGGGTGAAAATATATAAAAAAGAAATCAGGGCGAAATGAAAAGTACAAAAGAAAAGAGAATCATGGAATGGCAGTGAGAAATAAAGGGGAATATACACAACTATGTGGAAGGCTTCCTGAAAAATGAAGAATCTGTATGATGTGAAAAACTATCTTAAGAAAGTGCAAAGCTGAGATAAAAACAATGGCAGTGTACTGTGAAAAACATCGAGATCATGAAAGTTAACAATATACATACTTTGTATTCTGCACTAAAGCGTTGTAAAAAGTTGGCAGGCACACGAAATAATTGATTCCCTCTGATTATTTTACGTGGAAACCGGAAATTTACACAACTGAGAAGCGAAGGGCAGGATATCGTACCGGGAATTATAGTTTGTAAGTAAATAAGAGGTCTACGCGGTTTTGTCGGCAGTGAAGTGATGGCAATAATAATAACCCGGCGGTGTTAGAACGAGATGCAGAGTCATTTCTAGCAGAACTATGGTTGTAAATGCTTCTGAATCTTTTTTTTTTTTCTGGACTCGCTCAATAGCGTCACTGCCAGACTTAGCGATGCCATTGCAGGTCACTGAAGCATACTCAAGGTATACATATTTCGGCGTACAATTTCTGGAAGGCTGAAGGTGAACTGAATTTAAGAGAGATTCTTTAAACATAGCCAAGAGAACGAAGAACCACGCATGGCAGCACGTTTTGTGTGGGCGTAAAAATTTAGCATGCTAACAAAAACACCGACATCACTGAATTCATAAACCTCACATAAGGACATGGTATTGACAGGGTATGTAAATGACACGATGGATGTTTTCTGATATATACTCATGAATTTGTTCTTTGAGGTACTCAGACGAAGGTTATTCTTATCACAACACTCGGAGAAAGAACACAAACCTGACTGCAGCAAGCGACAGCCATTAACTGAATGAATTTCCTTAAGTATCTTGATGTCATCAGCATACAAGAGAAAAGAAGAATGACTATTTGCAAAATAAACATCGTTATGGTAAATTAAAAATTAGAGTGGGCCTAACAGCGACCCTTGAGGAACTCCACTAGTCACTTTGTACAAGGAAGACGTTTGACCATTTAACAAAGAAGTCGTTTGACCAATATAAGTACATGGCCCGTAGCATTTTGCCTACACCAAAATGGAGACCGGTATCCAAACCCGCAACCTTTGGGTCAGCAGTCGAGCACAATGACCATGGCGGCGAAAGTTGCACATTCAGGATGGTGCAAATACGTTGGTACTCACCACGAATTAGCGTGATGGCTACAGCTACGAAGATGGTGGAAAGGAAGCTGATTACTGGAATCCACATGTACGATATGTGGTAGAGATCGTATACGCCTCTGAAAACAAAGAGCAAGGGAAACGTGGGGTTTGAATATTAGTACACTTAGCGTACGACAGAGTCTAGTGTGGACATCGCACTGCGTTTCGGCCAGTTTTTATGGGGTTTAGCTGATCCTAAGTAGACCAAATATTTTCACTACTGTCCCATCGGTTTCTCCATAAATATGAAATATTTCGGTAATTAAAATATCATACCCTCAAAGAGCCATGAATTTTTGGTCATAATCCATGTTATGTGAGTTATTAGTCCTTACTTTCAAAAACAACCTGGCGAAATTTTTGCGCATTCGGTCAGCCAATTGATTTAAAATTGCATATTTTGCATAATTGCAAAATATGCAATTATGCAATATATTGCATAATTGCAACTTGTGGCTTGAGAGTTGGGCAACACTGACACACTCGCAAGTTATGATGTAACAAGCTGCTTGCTTTTCAGGGTTTACATACTGGCGAAGGATTTCGCTCCGTGATCAGATGAATGCGTAATCGAGCTATTTGAGCTTTATTGAGCTTTGCATTGAGGTTTAACGATCTGTAACGCTGAAACTTTGGTACAAGACTACGGCATCGTTCCTTGCTAAACATCACGTCGCACAGGTCATGACAAAATAGACGTCGCCGGCAATGGATAATATTTACAACCAGCGCCTTCTAAGACTCGCTTAGCACTGAGATATATTTTTGCCATCCAATTTTCATATATGTACAGGTACAATAAATTTTCTATTTATATATCTATATTATTCTGAATACCGCATATTGCTTAATCACCGTGTCATGTCCCCCTGGGGTTGCAGGAGAGTTTTCCGAAAATAAATCGCTATTTCTGTAAATGTATGCAAAACACCAGCAAACGATAGCTTCAATGCTGCACGTTCTGCCGTTATTGCGCTGAAAGAGGAGTCAGACATGTTGGCACATTTCTATATCAATTCACCAACTCACCCAACAGCTAACTCTTTTGATGTTGGCACACTTTGCTGTGTCGTAGAATGCAAGCAGATATGTACTTACACGGCCGCAAGATAAAATACTCAGTTTTTGCTCTATTGTTTGATTCAACAACACTAAAATGTACAGGCGGGAGAAGGAGGTCAAATGTTCGCGTGTTATTATCCCATTATAGTTTCTATGGAAGTATGGCCTGTGAGATTTTGACCAGGACTGAAACTTAAGAATGTCAGTGAGCGGGTTTCAATGAGCACCTCGTGCCTTTAAAATTAGGATTTTTTTAGCAGATGAAAAATTCGTTAAAGAGGCATACATTGAATTATTTCCTTCGAATCGATACTACTGCTGTCGTGTACCAAAGAGTGGACCAAAATGCAATTTTTATAAGCGCAAACGTTTCCCCGCTCTTTCAGCATCACGCTGTCATATGGTTGCCCCGAACATTGCGAACATTGTTTGCGAGTGAACAGACAAGCGCAGCAAACTGTTGTCCATAGCGAGGATCAGCGCATCTCACCCCGTGTAGTATGTTCGATGAGGCGGCACTCTGAGCGTGTAGTTGAAGGCGCAGGCTTCGACGGTTGTGCGCGCGACGACGGGCTTTCGAGGGTAGACCATGCCGCCGATGGCGACCCAGAAGGACAGCGCCATGCCCGTTAACATGGACACGATGACGGTCTGTAAATAATAATAATAATAATAATAATAATAATAATAATAATAATAATAATAATAATAATAATAATAATAATAATAATAATAATAATAATAATAATAATAATAATAATAATAAAGCCAGCGCCCATCAGTTATACGCCCTATAAACAAATCCACTGCATTGAGCACAATCACAACGTCGGATTGATCCGGGATACCTGGCTCTCCCGTCGTAAAATACAGTCTGAATCACACTTGTTCAGAGTGGTATTCAAAGCAGCTTGCTGATCCGGTTGAAACAGCGAACTTCGATGCGTTTCTACCATCTGAGGAGAAATAGAGAAAAACTCCAAACACACAGAAAAAAAAAAAATCGGCTTCTCCCCCGTATTCTCGCAGAATGCGTAGGTTCGATTGCTGATGGGACTCCTGGCATTTATTCTTTGCATTCGTCGGGTCGAGATTTTCTTAACGCGCACGCGTTAAGGATTACCCATATGTCTTCTCGTCGTTCCTGGGTAGAGATTACTAAGTGTCAATTATCTGTGTCACACACCCGCATACCAGTGGCACATACACGTCTGCGGTTATGTGCGACTGTTTGGCGGGAAGTGTTTTGCGACGGTATTGTGAAGTTATTCGTGTCTTGTCCAGCGTGTCACATTCGGCAAACTGTCTTACCCTCTTATACTACTTTTGGTTCAATTTAGCCAATTTGAGGGGTAATCCCGAGAGCAGCCAGACGTAAGCGGATAGATAGATAGATAGATAGATAGATAGATAGATAGATAGATAGATAGATAGATAGATAGATAGATAGATAGATAGATAGATAGATAGATAGATAGATAGATAGATAGATAGATAGATAGATAGATAGATAGATAGATAGATAGATAGATAGATAGATAGATAGATAGATAGATAGATAGATAGATAGATAGATAGATAGATAGATAGATAGATAGATAGATAGATAGATAGATAGATAGATCAAACGTGCTTGCAGTACGCAAAGAAATGAAAAGATGGTGGTATAGGGACGGTAAGGGGACTCTATAACGCTCGGCTGTGCAAGCTGGCGACCTTCGTGCTTGCGCCGCAAATATTTTGTTATGCTACCTCACGTTAGCTGTAAGTTTTCGTTCATGCCTGAATTATAGCGCAAGGATCTATTATGCGGCACGTCTATGTCTAGCATCATTCGGTCTCTGCACACTTTTGCGAAAAACAGCGGCTCAAGCGTACGACCGGCCTCTAGACTAAAGTGCTTATTTGGGCCGTTTTGTACATGATCAATGAATCGAAAAAAAAAAACAGTGTGTAACACAGGACAGTGACAGAGAAGGACTCAGTGCTTTGTCCATCTTTGTCACGGTCATGTGTTACGCGCTGTTTTTTTTTTTTGTTTTGCTTCAGCCTCTAGATAAATGTGATTCAGACTCCCCTTACAGTATTTCAGCATGCGCCATTACATATACCGCACAGTTTCGAATGACAAATTAATGAAAACGCTAAACATTGTTGCTGAAAATTAATATGCTCACCCCGCCACCACACCATGGGTACAGGAGGCCGAGAAAGAATATTCCTCCGGAGGCGCCCACAAAGCAGCCCGTTGTGACGAAAGTTGCCTGTAAACGAAACCCCGAGTCACTTCCTCGTACGTGTCACACTGTCATGCGAATTATCGCAAAATATTTATGTGCGTATCAGCTGCGCCACGTTGGCCGTGTGTACGAGTAAATATGTGCAGTAAGCGGGCTTTGCCCATACGATGACATTACTGAAAAAGGGGCGCGACAGTCGGCTCAGCCGTAGTGCGCACTGGTATTTAGGTGAAGACTGTCTTGAGCATTGAGCTTGCATGTATTTATTCTTGGGGTTGCCGGATTGCTAAGCCATAATAAAAAGTACACTGCAACGCAGCAACTTCTTTAATTCGCACTTCTGAACCCATATCGAAGTAGTAGTAGTAGTAGTAATAATAATAATAATAATAATAATAATAATAATAATAATAATAATAATAATAATAATAATAATAATAATAATAATAATAATAATAATAATAATAATAATAATAATAATAATAATAATAATAATATTAATATTATTATTATTATTATTATTATTATTATTATTATTATTATTATTATTATTATTATTATTATTATTATTATTATTATTATTATTCGAAAGCAATGTGGTTATCCTTTATTTCAGTATAGGCACTCTGTGCTAGTCATCATCACGCTCTGACAAGTGTTCCCGAGTTGCAGCTCAGTTTCGGACTTTATATTATCCGCATGTCCGGTTTGTTTCTTCACTTGATATGTAATTGCATTTACCCAACAAGTCGAGAAATGAATGCAACGATTTGGTTAATTGGTTTTTTTTTTTTTTAGGGGCGGAGCTTCTTAGGCAGTGGGTAGTTCCCTTCTCCGTGTGTAGTATGTCGTCATATCTAGTTTATGACTTCCTCAATAGATGGACTTGTGTGCATGTCTCCGGGATTAATATAACTAGATGGCGTTAGTGGTTTCCACATCATTCATGGACGGACCGATGGATAAAAGCAAGAACGAACGGACGGGCAGAAGCACGGACGGACGGATAGAAGCACGGACGGGCAGTCACTTCACCCAATTCATCATTCACTACGTGGATATATTGCGTTTTTTTTTTTCAATACCAGCAAGGACTCAAAGTTTAGGTTGACCCACCGAAAGGATGGAAGGCAGGGTGCCGGCGAGAAATGCGATGACAATCGTCAGAAGACCGTAGGTGGCCGCTGAAACAGGAACAGAAATAGTCTTCAGAAAAGTCTCAATTATAGCACGACATCAGCTTGTCTTCTTCAAAAATTTTTTCACATAAAGCTGCCTTCATTTTTCATTACTAAGGCGAAAGCCATACATGCCTCGTCAAACACGAAATTTTACCGTCGGCGGTGACCGTCCTATGACGGAGATGAGTGATGTAAGAAAATCGTCACGCCATGACGTCAATGTATGACTTGCCATGACGTCACAGATATGAAACCTTTGTGACGTCATCGTGACGTCACAAATTCTGGCGTTACTGCGTAAGGACACACGATGCCATTGTAGCACCTTCTTTGGGGTGGTGGACGAAACCGGAGAAACCGGACAGTGCGCCACCTCAAGACAAGAAAATGAACACGGTGCTTGGCAGTGGTGTATGAAGCAATGTCTCATGTTTTGTGCTCCCTAATGGGTAAACTGCGAAGAAAAAGACGACTTTCGTCATGGAATCGTCTTAGGCGAATCCACAAGGTATCCTGTGAGTTTCAAGGTTTCTTTCTCTGTAAGGTAAGATTTTTTTTATCGGAAGGCTTTTATGGCTCTTTTCGGTGACGACTGGATGACGTCTTTCCGAAATGGTTTGCTTGGGTGGTATATGATCGAAAAAGGCTCATGCACCTGCAAGCTAAGAATCATCTCTGCCTGTATGCCGCCCCTACTATCACTCAGTATGATTTAAAGGAAGAGGAGCGGTACCAAGTGCGCATTGTTCCCAGTAGACTGTCGTTGCCACCACCAGTAACTGTTAGTGAGGTTCAATTATTCAGTAACCATTGTACTGGTAATTTGACAAGTACTCACGCAGTTATCATAATGTCAATGAGACAAATGTAGGCACGCATGTTCAAATGACATCTAACTGCGTTATCTTCAACGTACTAATTGCGTGCTCATTTCTCTTGGCTGATAAAGAAAGTCCACGAAATACCAAACAAAGAGCTCAGCTAGGTTGCAGGTATTCGTTCTAAAAGAGAGAGGGCGTGCAAACGCGGACACAAGAAGTAAGTCTGGGCATCTTTCAAAACAGAGAAATAACGCGGGAATACGCACCCGGCGCTTGCAAAAAACAAACAACGTTCTCAAATAATCCAAGTGCAAGCAACGGATTTGCCTGTTGTCCGTCGCCAGAGACAGCGTTTCATGCTCTGGAGTCTGGAAAGCTTGCAGGCGGGGCGCCAACATGCGTCAAATCGCGCAGTGATTCACTGGACTCGATTGTCTACGGCATGACAATAATACTGATTTCACGCTCGGCTGTTTTCATTGATAATATGCTGGAGCACTTTTCTCATTACAGGCTCACTCGCGTTAAGACTGAAGTAGCGCGTTTCTTCGGCCGATTAGTGGCACGAGGGGTGATCTACATTTATTTATTTATTTATTTATTTGTTTGTTTGTTTGTTTGTTTGTTTGATATTAGTTAACTCCGAGTGAGCCTACTTGAAGGTGCAGCTTTGTTATGCGTGCAATAGTCTGGTGACGTGTCACCTTTCAGATTTTTCATGCTGCTTACAACCGTAAAAAACGGGTGCGATATTTGTGCGTTGTTCGAAATAGTGCAGTTAGATTTCATTTGAACATGCTTACAAAGTCAGCATTTTGTTAATTAGGTGAGTATTTGTCCCGTTAAAATTATTCGAACCTCGTTATCTAAGAAGTAGTAGTGACTGCTTCATTGTGCTAGAAACGATTTAAACTATATGCTTGCCTCGCATGACGCCGTTTTATAATTTTTTTTTTCAAATCGCATTGCGTGATAACTGTGGCACCCTGTTTGCACTGTGCATATGATCAGAAAAGTCATACAGAACGCGCTGAACGGTCTCCACCCGATCACAAGGATCAGACGTAACACTCTGTTTTGAACATAAAGAGATCTCGTTGAGTTCACTCAAAGCCAGAGGAGAGAAAACGGGAGGGCTTTGAGTCTAGAAGGTTTTCAAGAAAAAAAAAGGTGCTCTATTCTTTCTTTTCCTTCTCTTTGCTTCACTCACTTTCGTTCTATCTGCTTTATTATATTTTTACGTTCGCAGATCACGAATGCAAGATTTCAAACGGATTTCTCGTACTGGTCAGCCTGCTTACTGTTCTACTTTCTGTTTTACTGATTGTCAGTCATGCAACAGCCACTCATAGGGGAAGTCGGACCTAAAGATGTGCGACAAAAATTACGCGCAGGACAATATTTGTGGGCACAGGCAGTGCGGAGAACAGTGTTACCTTCGTACTGCATTATGCGTCAATTTAGATTTTAGGATTTCAACGCAAATGAAGCATGCAAAAGAGAAAAACGAACTTCAACTACTATAAATACTAGAATCAGGTGTAAGGACACCATCAGCACGCACCGATCGCTTTTGTTGCCCACATGACACCTTTCGGAGACAGCTTCAGCCTGGGCTTTAAGAAATCCTCCCATGTGATGGCGGCCAAGGCGTTGTAGCCAGACGACATCGTACTGAAATATATATAAGAAGCGAAACCAACCAATCGCCAAATCACGAAAATGTATGAGTACTGCGTATGGACTCGGAACGCTAGAGTTTCGGCAAGCGCCATTGACTGGGCGCGGTAATGGTGACGGATGCGGAGAGTTCAGTAAGTTACGAGTGTCATTAAGTACGTGATCACAGGCACATGTGCTCCCAATTGGGTGTCGCTATAGTTGTGTCTACACATCGCGCTGCACCGTGATCGCAAGCGATACTGCGCATTTTGCGATCGAGCGGCCTCTCTGAACGATTGTAGCCAGAACACTCTTTTCTATTCCGGTGTGTGTGTGTGTGTGTGTGTGTGTGTGTGTGTGTGTGTGTGTGTGTGTGTGTGTGTGTGTGTGTGTGTGTGTGTGTGTGTGTGTGTGTTTTCTCCCGCGTGTGCACAAGCGTTGTTTATTCTCTTTTTTTTCTCTCTCTCTGCACCCTCTTTCTTGCCCATTCTCCATGCCACAGTGCTGGGTAGCAAACCGTATGCTAATAATATATGACTAACCTTTCGGCCTTCCACTTTATCTGTCTCTCTTAGTGTCTACACCTAAGGGAGTGGAATGGCAGCTTTAATCGTAGCTGGGATGTAAAAACAGCGCAAAAATTATAGACTAGGACGAAATAAGGGACGACACCACACTGATTTTCGCAACTAAACTTTACTGGAAGACACACGCACATATATCATACAATCGACCCGGTCACGTGGCAAACCAAATGCGTCTGCGTCTGTGCTAACCAAAGTAGTCTATAACTTTTGCGCTGTCTTTACTTCCCTAGTATGAACCACCAACTAGCCCAACTTTCACTATTATTTCAATCGTAGCCCTATGAAATAGCCAGCAGGACAAGTGCCACGGTATGGATGTAGGTTCTGATCCCAATTGCGACGCGAAATTCCGGCCAACTACCCGCAGTGTGGAAATCGATGTGGTGCGAAGCTGACAGCAAAAAAAAAAAAAAGCTGAATATCATGCATTGTTTTATTTTGAACCGAGATCTATGCGTCTATTGCGCGCCTTTTATCAAGGAAAATGGTACTTTGGGAGGGGACCTAAAAGCGTTCTAAATTGATGTTTGCACGCATGGGCCAATCGCCGCTCTTACTTCCTACCGACTGACAGGTCTTGGCTCGAGATGCTCTCGGCATCCTCCTCGAGCGTACGCACTTTCTCGAGATACCCCATGACTACCCATGACTCTACGGACACGATCGGGCGCAGCTTGGCTATCCGCTGTAGGTTGGCATGACTGGCGCACGTTGTCTCCGTCGGTTGGCATGTCTTAGCTACTGCACATGCGCGGCTTGGCCAGTTAGAGTGGTATCTGGGCGCTAGACGACGTGGTGCTGGATTTCCCTTTCTTTCTACCTTTTTTTTCTTTCTCTCTATTCTTTATCCTTTGCCTGTCTCTCCTTTTCCTTCTCTTTTTCTCTTTTTTTATTTCTCCCCTTTTCATTCTTTCTGCGCTACGCTTTGCTCTCTCCTCCTTGCCCTCCTCCTCACAATCACATCTCTGCTCACGCTCACTTCCCTTTCCCACACCCCAGCTGCCCTGTAATATACAAGGCTATGCTAGCGTGCCTGGATAGCAGAGTGTTAAGGACGCTGACCAACGGATTACGCGCACACGTGGGTACGCGGGTTTGAATACCACCTCGCGAAGAATTTTTCCCGACAGTAGTTTTTCGCTTGCTTTACATCTTCCTTTCTCTCCCTCTCTGTACTCGTTCCCTAACCCATCACGGTTATTACAGGGCACGCGCCGTAGCGGGCGACTTACCCTAATTTTGCAGCGCATATTCTTCAAGGTGACATTGGCAGGCTCGACACTTCATGACTGGCATAAACATCTTCACTATTGAATGGCTTTCCACCGGGCTAATTGGGGCTGCCATAACAATGTGTTGTTAATTAGCGCTTGTTTTCGTGCGTCCCTTCTTTTTCCGTGTCTCGGGGTGCGTTGTAAGCTGTTATGGTTCACTATTGAAATTGTTTTTGCTTGTAATTTTTCTAATGTCTCATTATGTAGAGCTCGAGACAGCTCTTTTCCAATGTTTTCCATTATCTGGCTTTTTTGTGGTTTCTTATGGTTATATCCGCAATTTAACCATCATGCAACTGTTGCTCAGTGAAGTTTTCCTACTTTTAAATTTACGTCATTACCACCTGAACAATGTCGCTCACTACGTCAAACGTGACACGCGGGATCTATAGAGTTTGTGATTTGGTTCTGTGACATGATTGATCGACGGCTTCCCTGTGATTTTTCTGTTGTAGGTAGTATTAACATTCTCCCTGAATCATTACTGTTAGTATTGGCTGGTGTGACAGCTTACAGGTGCTTAATGACTGACGAGACTTTCGGTGAACCTTCGTGCAGTGATAGACATGTGTGACCGTCATACCTGAGTGATCCACTGTAGACAGCTGTGACGAAAAGCCCTGTCATGCCCGGCAAGTGACCCAAGTTGTCCATAACAAAGTACGGCATCATCTGGGAACGAAAAAGGGATGGACGATCAGCCAATGCTGCGCATATAGTTGAAGGAACGTGAGTTCCTTTTTTCTGAGTACGTTGTTGCGACTACGAAACAACAACGTGACCAAACCGTTGACTAACAGCAGTCACATATCAAATAAAAAAATGTCTGGTGCACCACCTTAACTCTGGTGGTGCTCTGGCGCTGTCCAACGTTACGGGTTGAAAACGTTACATGGTCAACGTAGAAATGCTGTGCTACGCAGTACGAATGTAAGGATACAGCTATGGGTAGCCCAACTGGCCCACGACGTGGCAGAGTGGTTAGGCCTATCTGTCCCGACGTGGGAGGGACCTGATACGTGCTAGTTTACGCCCTGGCCAACCTAAATAAAGTTTTCGCACACCGTACCACCCTAACTAATGCTTAGACGACGTAAGGTGAAAACTATTAGGCACTCATCAATGGGCATTTGTTGGCATTGTTTTCTGAGCTTTCTGTTGAAGCCACCTTTCTTCTCCGCGCACATCGTTTCAGCGTGATAACGGGGTGCTAGAACCAATGTGGCAAGCTTCAGAACCCATTTAGACACATAAGCGGGTTCGCAGGTTAATTACTCCTTAAATTCAACTGCTTTAACAGCGAGGCTGCTTAACTTATCGGTAACTTGTGTTGGACTGTGCAAAACAACCCATCTGAGAATGCGCACGGGAATCTGGCAAGCACCACTACCGAGTACAGCAGGTGTGAACGTCTCACGAACCTTCTGCTCGGACAAGCGCAGCACGTGAAACACGTGAAAGAGATAATAGGAGAAAGCGATAGGAATAAACACGGAAAGTAGAGAGAGTTGGAGGGTTTGAAGAAATAAAATAATATAGAAACAGCGCCGACCAGCAATGGGCCGTCCAGCAGGCCCACGAAGCGGCCGCCAGGTACTCACTGTCGGTCCCTACGTGGAAGACGCCCGCTACGCGCTAAGCGCGTCCTGCAGGACTGAAATGAAGTTTTTTCATTCCACTCCATTCCAACAGAGAAGGCATATAGAGAAAGAGCTAGAAAGGGACACGAAAAAGAGATGCAGAAGGCAGAGTACATTATAGAGAAACGAAGAAAGACATAAGGAGTAAAAAGAAAAAAAAGGAAAGGAGTGACCAGGGATAAAAAACGAGAAACAGAAATAAAGGTAGAAAAGGCTGACTCGGTGTACCCGAGGGTACTGTGTCTCGCTGCCATCAAAACGCAGATGATATCGAACCTGCAACCTCTCATACTTAGTAGCCCAAGGCATGGCTACTCCGCTTTTGTATAGTAGCTTCAGAAAAGTCTATTGGTTATTATTATTATTATTATTAGTAGTATTAATATTATTATTATTATTATTAGAGGTGGTACTAGTAGTAGTAGTAGTAGTAGTAGTAGTAGTAGTAGTAGTAGTAGTAGTAGTTAGTGTACCTGTTGTTGGGCTCGTGATTGAGCTCTCCCTGTAACGAGCAACAGTAATGCTTGACGGAAGGGGTTGTTGCTAATAAAGGAGCTGCTTTAACAAAGGAACGAGAAGTTCACCAAGGTAGCTGTTTATATTTGTTTGCTTTGGGCAATGACAAGTGTTTGCTTTATTGTTCACTCACCTCGTCGTATTTCTTTATTACGGACGCCTTGACCGGGTCGCACTGGTGATAAAGCGCGAAAAGCACGAGACCGCAAAACGCAGATAACGTCAACGTGCCTCCGACGCCCAGCATGTTGATGTACAGTGCCCTGCAAATAAATAGAGTTAGAACAATGCATTTTGTTGAGCACACGTAGCTCCGTGAGCACACCTTAAGAAGAGAAACTCTCGCTGTGTAGACTGAGTATTGTCAACTGTCAGATTATACTCTTGACAGAGTCTTGGCATATTTTAAGATAATGAAGCAAAGGAAATTATCGCAGACCGCCGCGTCTCTGAGGCCATGCGTGCCGTAAATAGTTATGTTCCTCAATGTCAGAGTTCGTTTACACATTCCCAGGAGTTGTGGACATCTGGAAGTGGCGCCATCTCTCGGCAGCAGAAACGGTGGCGTGCCATAATTAACTCAATGAAAAATAGGCAAAAAATTATATTTCTTGAAACAAGTTAGTTAGCAAAAACGGCTCCGAGTTGTACGTAGCAGAGACCCATTCGTACATTTTGGCAAAAATGCACTATCGCACTACCCTGCGAGTGGCTTCCCAGGACAGTTGAATGCTACCCATAGAAACACACAGGATTCCGTTGTAAAATATTAAATGCTGTGGGAAGCTAGGTGGTTCGTAGTGCGGCTCTGTAACTTTGCCAGACCGTTCAAGTAAGTCTTTGTTGCATAAAGCAGGGGATCGTTTTCGATAACTAACTTTTTTTTTTCATCAGATATGATTTTTTTTTCGGCTATCTTCCATTAAGTTACAGCAGGCCACCGCGGTCGCCGACCAGAGATGGCGCTACATGCACATGTCTCCAAATCATGTTCACGCAAATGTGTATTGAGAGGACAGCGTGAGAGGCGAAATGATCTGCGCTGCCATTCGATCTACTCTAACGCTTGCCGTTGTAAGAGTGCGACTGCTTCCGATTCTAACTCAGTGCATTGGCGTAATAATATAAGTCGCTACGTAATTTATCTTGTCAGTAGCTGCAACGCCCTCATCATCTCAAATACACCTTTCTATATTGCTGTCTAGAAAACAATCACTTCCATCTACAGTAGCCACCCACTTGCTCCTATGTGATATCGAACTTAGCATTTTCACCATGTACGTTGCAACATTATTGGCAGGTGGGCTTGTTGGTAATTGATACTGGTTGGGTGGACTGGAAGCGCGGCAAAAGACAACGGACAGGGAAAAGACACAACACATGTGCTCACGTTCTTCCTCGTCCTTTGTCTGTTCCCGCGCTCAGAGTTCACTTAACCACGAAGGATTTCATCACGAGTCATGCTGTGTCATGTTGTACAGGGTCGTTGACATCTATAGGACGAACACCTCACAAGTGCGCAAGACCTCAAAAAGCTTATGTTTAATACAGAACCCGAAAAATTATTCCAGTGCTTTTAGGCATCCAGATTAGACGTCAGTAACGTATGCTGTCGGGCTAGTTGGTGTGTAACTGTGTAGAACATCGTTGGCGCAAACTTAAAAGACGTCGAAAGAAGAGACTCGGAAGACATTTCCGAGTCTCTTCTTTCGACGTCTTTTAAGTTTGCGCCAACGATGTTCTGCGCAGATTAGACGTCATATAAGGCACATTTCTGGAAGTACAATAGACGTTCTGGATTTGACAGCTTTAACACTAATCGAGTTTCCACATTGGGCGTGATCGACTCTTTACCCTAATATGCATGCGTGCAGGTGCGTATACTCACGCGCGAGCCTTGTTAATGGACTTGAGGCTGCAGTAGCGCTGGATCATGGTCTGGTTGGTGCACATGCTCATGGTCCAGGTTATCGTGGAACCGATGACGACACTCCAGAAGGTGAACGTCTTCTGAAAGTCGAAGCTCATGCTTGCCGTCGGCAAGCAGCAAGGGACGCTTTGTGAGCATACATACACCTCCGTACAGATTCAAAAGCAGGCGGGCCAATATTGCATTGCTATACCAAGCTGCATTGCGCATCCCGACCTTAGCGAATGGCAGAATGAGAGCAGTTTAGCCTAGTAAACTACGTTCGATGATTACGCGCAGCCTATTGAGAATTTGAGGGATTTTGAGAGTGACTACCTACTATCAGTCCACGGTTGCTTGAAAATGGCTTCAGTTTTAGGATATTTTATATTCGCATGAAGGCAGGTAAAGCATGCGAACACGTAGACAAGGGAAGAGAATGCAGTTTTTTTCTGGTACCTCGACTCGAATTCCGTCTGTGTTGTCTTTCACGACTAACTGGTTCAACCTTATGCGGCTTTATATTATATAAGTAAGCTGTTGATGCGATCGATTCGCAAGTTTGTCAAAGTACGTCGAGACATCAGACGCCTCGCACTGATTACCGGCGTCACCTGTGACTGCGCGTAATGGCCGAGTTGTGCTTAAATTAAGCCCCCTGTGCTGGATAATGTGGGCAGATCACGAAGAACACGTCTCCAGTGCCGGTTCATACATAAGAGAAGGATGAGGGAAGGAAGGAAAGGCAGGGAGGTCAACTGGACGCGTGTCCAGTTTGCTATACCCTACACTCGGGGGAAAGGGTTAAAAAGAAGGAGAAGGTGCTTTCAGTCTACAATCGGCGTCAAGTGAAACACGAACAGTGGTGTGCGAGTCGCAAACAATAAAGAAGGTGTAGTGTGCGCCTTTCAGTCATAATCATCCTGACTACGTCCACTGCAGGGCAAAGGCCTCTCCCATGTTCCGCCAGTTAACCCGGTCCTGTGCTTGCTGCTGCCAATTTATACCCGCAGACTTCTTAATCTCATCTGCCCGCCTAATCTTCTGTCTCCCCCTAACCCGCTTGCCTTCTCTGGGAATCTAGTTAGCTACCTTCAATGACCGGCGGTTATCCTGTCTACGCGCTACATGCCCGGCCCATGTCCTTTCCTCTTCTTGATTTCAACTACGATATCCTTAACCCCCGTTTGTTCCCTAATCCACTCTGCTCTCTTCTTGTCTCTTAAGGATACACCTACCATTTTTCTTTCCATTGCTCGCTGCGTCGTCCTCAATTTAAGGTGAACCATCTTTGTAAGTCTCGAGGTTTCTGCTTCGTTGCTAAGTACCATCACCATAAGTCATCACCATAAATCACTCCGCACCGCACATCCGGTGCGGCAGCACTGCGCGATTCCCCTATACAGTACGAAACTTTCGCTTCTGTTCTAGTTCTGATATTCCAAACGCGTAGAGAACAAAAATAAAATAAAAAAGTGAAAAGTACCAAAAGCACGTGTTACGCCCTCGACGGCTCTTATCATCGGCATATCAGAACTAGAACGTTAGCAAAACCATTGCAAGGGATCGCGAAACGCTGCCAAAACGAATGTGCGATGCTTTCAAAGGTGGTGACTACACGAGGCGCACTATACCGTTGCTAATGCTTAGACCTCACGCTCCACTGTTGGCGTTTCATTTGACGCCGACAGTACATGTGTGCCTGTTCGTTACACACTTACAAGCGATCGATTAACCTGGTCGATCTTAGCAGCAGTTCTGAATCGTATAGAGCATCAACAAAGTGTTGTTACAGTTCTACAAATAAACGCAGCCCCGCCACGGTGGTCTAGGGGCTAAGGTACTCGGCTGTTGAGACGCAGGTCGCGGGATGGAATCCCGGCTGTGGCGGCTGCCTTTCCGATGGAGGTGGAAACGTTGTAGGCCCGTGTGCTCAGATTTGAGTGCACGTTAAAGAACCCCAGGTGGTCGAAATTTCCGGAGTCCTCCACTTCGGCGTCTCTCATAATCATATGGTGGTTTTGGGACGTTAAAACTCACATATAAATCAATCAATCGCTATTAGCCAGCTCAAGTGGGGGCCACCTTTGTGTTTTCGATCGTTATAACTGACCATGTGGGCCTTATAGGGACTCAACGCTTCCGTGACCGTGCGAATGCCTGACTTGATTGATATTAATATATAGCGCTTTTAAGCCTCGTTGTCTCACGAGACGCAACAAAACCTGTACTCAGTCAACTTCAGGTGTTTCTTTTATGTACTTATAGCTTAGAAAGTTTCCACTTTATACAACGAGTATTTCATATCTTGTGCGCGTGCAGCCACCAGCATAAAGCATCGCAAAACGCGGCACGAACGTGTGATGCACGGATATTTCCCGGATTTAGACATCTATTGAGATGACGTGCATATGATACCTACTCGAAAAATTCAAGCAATCCATGCTTGTCCACAACGTCGAAAACTGCAGTAGGCCCACCGGTTGTCATCAAACCCTGTAAGAGTGACAAGCAAGAACGTAGTTTGAAATACGCACCAAATTGACATCTTATTAACGCACTTGCACTCACAAGTCGGTTCTCGCACGCCTTCAGTAGATGATTGAACCAACTTATGAGAAATTAAACAGGAACAGGAATTTTCTTTTTCTTTCTTTTTCCTATACACTTTACTTAGCCATTTGTTGAACTACATGATCCCTCTGGCATAACAAAGCGAAAACAGTATGCGCTTTTGTTAATGCTGGGAAAAGCATGAGACAAATTGACTTACATACAGACTAAACATTGGTGTAATAATTCGCTTGCTTTCATATGAGCAAAGTCTTCTTGCTATGTTTGAAATTCAATGGTATTAATAACACTCCGGGAGCGTAGGAGAGGAGTGAGGGGGAGAGGCGCGTATGCGCTCTAAGAGTGGTCACGCCGCACACCGGAATTGAGATCGCCCGTAATAAGACACTTTTAATTGGGCGTACGTAACGAGCGTATACGTACGTGGCACGATACGTTGCGTATACACTGCATGCGAAGCACCTCAACGACACTTTTACTTCACCGTATTGACCGTACCGAGATACGTTTGGTTGAACTAGACGAATGCTCTTAGAAATAAAACAGCTTTTGGGTGCTTTTTAGCGCCCTCGTGCGGTATCAGCGCAACATCGTCCCTCAAAGTTAAACATACTCGGTTTGGGCCGGCTTTGTTGCTATCTGGTTCCTATACCAATCGAGATATCAGGAGAGCTTTACGCCACGTAAGCTTCGCCTCGTCACGTTTACGCAAACCACGTTTTTTTTTTTTTTTTTCGGGCGTACGCGCGCATCTCTGGAATCGATGCCTTACGTACTGCACATGCGCAGTTCTCTCCCGTGGCAGCGCTGTGTACGTGGCTCGTTACGTATACGCCCAGCTAAAAGTGTCTGATATGGTAACGATAAGACGCTTCGCATATCAAATGGCGAATCTTGCAATACGCAATCCTTGAAACAGCGAAGCTCGACGATGCTGAAATCTAATCTGTTCGGTTTTAGGTCGTTGCAAGGCCAGACGATGCTTGGTTGTTTCTAGGTTGATTCTCAGCGCAGAGAGGTTCGAGTTGAACCAGTCGCAGACACAGAACTAATACGAGCACGTCATCGTTCACGTATAGTGGGGCTTCAATGGCTTTGTGATCTTCTCACAGCCACTGGGTACCGTAGATTTTTTTCCCCTTTGTACGTACCGCTGAAGCACTCCGTACAGATGCCTGAGCAAAGCTGAATCGTGTGGCCACAGTGTTTATCGCTAGTTTAGTGCCGGCTCTTTGTTAAAGGTTTTTTCTCAATTATTGGTTACTTGTGCCTTAAAATCTTAGTCGTTTTTTTTTTTTTCGCCCGTCTGTTGCCTCCGTTTTTATAGTGAACCTGCGCTGAGTACTTGGATGTGCGAAATTTCTGGGGCACATACCCGTTCGCGGTGAGGGAGTGTTCGGTACACATTTGCACCCGCAAAATTTTTAACGGCCGGCCTAAATGTACTCGCTGTTAGAACCCGCTCATAATACCCCCTTCATACTTCCCCGAAGAACGGGACCCTGATATGAAGTGTATTACCTACTGTTACAGGTTCTATTTTAGAGGGTGTCGATCTGGAGTGCCAGGGGCTATCTTTGACCTAGTCCGAGTATGTTGTTCTCTTGAAAACAAGCGTTCTCAAGTGCGCATTCGATTGATAAACTGCTTCAGTAGCGTCGCCAAACCCGCCAAGTCATTATTTTTCTGGGACAAAAATAAAACAAGAGTCTTTAACTGGGACAGAGGGGGCAAATGGAGCTAGTATGGAAGTGCCTTATTTACTGCATTTCTTTCTTTCTCTATCTCTTTCTTTCTTTCTTTCTTTCTTTCTTTCTTTCTTTCTTTCTTTCTTTCTTTCTTTCTTTCTTTCTTTCTTTCTTTCTTTTTTTCTCTGTTTCTTACTTTTCTTCTTTCTTTCATACTTTATTTTCTTGTTTCTTGTTCTCTTTCTTTCTTTCTTTCTTTCTTTCTTTCTTTCTTTCTTTTTTCTTTCTTTCTTTCTTTCTTTCTGGAGCAATGTTCACTACTAACTACAGCGTTCCATTTTATTATAGGTAGCCACCGTTCGCAGAACGCCATTTGCGGGCTGAATCGCCATTGCTTCTTTGACGTTCCTTCCACCGTTCGTTGTCCTACAGCCTTTATGTTGCTGCCGTGGCACCACCACCACCAGCTTTACAGGTAAGTGAATACGAACTTCGCTAGAAAAAGAACTGCGATTCGTCAAGATAGAACTTAAAAAATTAGGACCTTATATAGAGTGCTTAACATATGCACGACAACGTGTTGAAAGGGTACTTGGTTGGGTGTATGTAGAGAGCGAAAGTGCAGAGAACGGGGTTTTTTACCTTTATGAAGACGATAAAGAAGCCGGAAATCATGAGCAACATCTGCATGACGTCGGTCCAGACGACAGCTTTGATACCTCCCTGCGTAGAGAGATAGACGTTGTAGTCCTCGTAGCTGTGTCTCCTACCCTCCGTCTTCGTCTATAGTCTCCAGTGATTGTACGATAAAACAGGCGCCCATTGTCATGACATTGATTGCCCAAAAGAAAGTGAGACAATATATGGCACATGACATGTGACGATACTCACGATTGTGGTGTAAAAAGCACAAACGCTTCCGTTGAGAAGAATGGACAGCCATACTGGAAGGCCGGTCACTGCGTATGACCATGTATGAAAGAGATAATCAGGTATTTAAGTGTAAAAAGCAGTGTCGCAGCATCAACTCTTAATGATTCCAAATGCCCTCACATTTCCTTGTATTTTCTTTCTTTCTTCAACAACAACAAAACAGTAGAGGGTGGGACACATATGCGTGGGTTATGGTTGAAAGCATTACTTTATTGCAAGAAAGGTGAGATTTCGTTGAGTTAACAAAACCGTACATGCAATTAACGCATAAAAAAAACGGCAGATTGACTTGCTTAAGCATGCATGTGGTTGCAATATTTTTTAGAACGGTCATACGAAACGAAAACAGATTGGTGATTAGATCCGTGCGATATTGAGGATATCAATGCATGAAATCAATGTATGAATCTATTTATTCTCCGGAACCAAAAAAGGCGCTCTTTATTTTGGGGTGGACTCCTAACACGTAAACTGTAATTTTCTAGGTTTAGAACTGTGATACTCTCGTTCTTCGATTACAAAGTGATAAGGCAGTGCTTGTGCACACTGTACACTGGCGAGGACAGACAACAGAGAGATAACTATCTTTAATGAAATGTCTGGAGATAATAGCCTATTTCGTCACCTGTATTTCCACTTCAGGTGTCGAGTGTGGACTGCGATATGTACAACGGTCACATATACACAAAACTGATAGGTAGACTCAAGAACACATCTATATACAGGCACTCACCCGACCCAAGCGCAAGTGATGGACCGTATAGCACTACTCCCAGGTAGAAACACTGTAACGGGTAAGTGGGTTTAGTGTATTCATTAAACAAATAAAAACATGCATTAAGAATCTAACTGCGAATTACCGTTTGAACCACGGTGACGCCAGAAGTGAACTTTCGTATGAAGGTAGAGTTGTACCGCTTTTCCAAATACTGCAAACAAAAAATCGTCATTTCGGTGTCAAGAACGAAGCGCACTACTTAGCGAAGAAGCAAAGCCTTTTATATAACCTTTTATATATAGATGCCTTATATATAGATGCCAACCTTATATATAGATGCCAAAGCCTTTTATATATAGATGGACAGCAGTTTTAGATGCCTCATCAAACGCATGAACTGAACATAGACGTCGGCGTTCCGCAGTGTCATGGACAGTACAGTGTTGCAAAAAAAATAATAACCACGTGATAACGCTTTTATGACGTCGCAGATCGCGAAAATTTGCTCGATTATAATAACGTCACTATATCGTAGCTTGGTCAAAAGTGGGCCGATCACAAAGGCAGTGCAAGAACACTTTAAGTGTAAAAACCTTCTTTTTGTCGGGGGGAGGAGGGTGGGTAGAGGTGACTGTGCAGAATCATTACACCAACTGAAAAGAAATAAAAAAGGCTTCGAATCATCTTCGGCGAATATATATTGTACTATGAGATGTTTTTAATTACATAATCTTTTCGGTCCTGGATAAAGTGTGACCGATAGCCAGACAATTAGGCGAAAATCGCAAAATCTTATTAAGACTGTAGCGTTACGGCAATGACGAACATGCAGCTCATATGCCGTACAGCTAATCCTGACCCCGAAGCAATAATATAGCCAACCACATGCCTCCCTTAGTTGATCTTACCGTCGTATTCTTTTTAACAGAGGGCCTATTCAAGGGATGGGCACCGTGGCAGATGAATGTCCACGTCGCATGTCACGCTCCGACGAGTATGTAAGATACACCCATAGATGGCGTTACTTACTCGGTCGTAAACGAAGCGGTAACCGTAGGGTGAAACAGAGAAAGGGAGGCTAGAGCGTAAGTAATGCCTAAAGGTAATGTAGCATTATCGGGCGTGTCAGGGTCTGCCACACACCCTTGCCCGTGCATCTCTACTCTACGAAGAGCACGAAAACAGACTCAGACAATATCGCAACGGAAACACCGCAAAAACGCAGCTCCGCTGCTACTGCACATTTCACACGGGGTAGTGGAACTGGGATAATTTACTGTTCTCTACCATTTTTTTATCGTGGTTCTGGCACGTAAAAACACAGAGGGTATTAGCATTCTCATTTTTTGTGACCTTAATGAACAGAATAAACTATCTGCGCGACAAAGAGAAGGGTGCCAGGGACGTCGACTTCTCGTCGATGAAGATAGGTACTAGGTTAGGAGTTATTTCTCGAGCTGTCCTCACTTGGTTCACGCTGATCATGTCCATCTCGTAGAACACGGGCAAGAAGACGTGAGCTGCCAAGAGGATGGCAATGATGACGCCGATGAAGTTGACCATGTACTGGGAGCCATTGATGAAGCTTTCCGATGGCACGCCCAAAATGGCGATGGCCGACAAGAAACTTGCCATTATGGACATTGTCACTGGAAATACCTGCGAGGAAATGAGCATCAGAACTCGAACTTATTAAGGCCAGAGCCTTTGAATTCCCCACCAATCGCGGAGATCGAATGTCGGCGTCGGTGGCATCAACACGAGTGATGTCACTAAGCTTGCACTAAACCCGGGCAAAGCTCGTATACAGTGAATCTGATCAGTGTCGCAGATCGGCCCGCTCATTTATTGCTGTAAAGAGGTTGAACTTGGCTTTAACAAGGTTGTACTTTGTTGTAGCGAGGTTTAACTTGACGCATGATACCGTGTGTATGAGCTTTTTATGGTTTAGTGCAAGCTTCGAGTGTTTTTTTTAACTATTAGAGACCAAAGTTGTCAGAAGGCGTACTCGTAAGCTAGCTCTTTGACAATCCATTCATGCATTTTTGTACGCCCTATATTTGTTGCCGAATTCATGTAGTATGCGATGTTCCTGCCCACTCTAAACCACCCGTCGCTACTGATAGCTGTAGCAACGGTTGGTCTGAGCTAAATGTCCAGAACCCTGAGGTGATTTTTATTGCCTGCGAAGAAACACATCCCAGTCTTTTCTTTCCTTCCCCCAGAGCAGGGAAGCAAACCAGGCACGCCTGGTTGACCTCCCTCTTTTCCCGTTTAGAGGTATTGTTTGTTTTAAAGACCTTCTCATCTGGTCTGGTTATGTTGAGCTGACAAGCTCAGCGGTTGCACTGTACGCTCACGATTGTATCTGCACGCCGCCTAACTAGCTGAAATTTCAAAATCAAGTTTGTTCTCCCCCCTTTTCGTGGGCGTCGTGCTCTCAGATACGGCGATGACGTATACCGAGTACGCCAGCGTAGTGTGAGCGCAGCGTGACGTGTTGATGTTCATGCATCACGAGATCCTCCGGCTTCGCGGCGCGGGAACGCAAGGAAGGAGTTGATTGATCGATATGTGTGGTCTAACGTCCCAAAACCGCCATATGATTATGAAAGACGCCGTAGTGTAGGGCTGCAACTTTCCGCCACTTCAATTCAGCCTGTTACCTGCAGTGGTCATTTGTACTGCACTCGCAGGTAGCTTGCGAGAACAAAGCATCTACGCTGCGGAAGGTCTTGCAGCAGTGAAAACACTTACTTTTGACACCACCGTTACAGCAGTCAACTGAATGCAAATTCGAGTCCTCTTTTAACAGTGCTTATAGAGAAAGACGTGGCCTCTTAATGCAACGAAAAGAAACGATTGTCCTAGAATCAGTGCCAATTAATGCAGGAAATGGATCAGTAAACAGAGCAGTGCTATGGTACGCAAACTAGGACTGGCATCAAATGTGGGCACGGTGCAGTTCTTTGTTCTTTGGGTTGTGGCTGTAGAAGCCCGTGTACTATTGATTATAATAAACAACAAATTAAATGACGCTTTGCTTCGTGGGCGCATTTGCTCAATAATGCAAACGCGATTCAAATAAGTATGCGCTCGTTTCCTGCTAACAGGTAGAGTCTCCTAAAAATATAAAGAGTTTTCACTGACTTCGCATACGTATGAACGTGCATCTGTATGTGCGTGTGTAAAAGCTTGTCAATATATTTTATAGCTTATACTCAGCGTCCGCTACATTCGGCGCCTGTTGGACACTATTAATGCGGCATGTCCGGCTGGTTATATAATATTAACTATGTTCAGGGTATCCGTGGCAGTACACACTATCCCATACAGGTTCTTAGGAATGATCGTGGGTGCCACACGAGTTCTCTTAAGCACGGACATGTTGCGAAGTAAGATGTCACAACTTGTTTTGCTCGTATGCATAATTCAATTAGATAACTTGTTTCTGAACATGCTCTTACTAGTCCGTATACCGACCTTAGGTGGTCGAGACGGACTTATCGCATAGAGAGGAGAAAAATAAAGGAGGACGTTTACACAGTTTTGTTTAGCTTGCTGCATAGTCCGCGAATAAGTGTATGCAAGAATTTTTAGGAAAATACGACATATCGTCTTCAAGCACAGCGCCACAGGTGTGAATACGCACGCACACAGACGCACGCACGGACACACACGCAAATGCACAGCCTATGGTATTCTTGGCACATTAGAGGTCAGAGTATGCAAATACGCGCAGCACCCAAGGTCGATGATGAATCAGCTTGCCTTATACAGCCGGGTAATGCGAAAGCGGATTGAGCTTTCGCTTTATTGCTGATGTCGTTAATCTCGGTGCTCACGCAATGATGGAAGCACGGTGACATCGTGATATATATCGCACCCCGTTAACGATGTAATTATTCAAAACATATTGCAGCTGTCGTCATTGGCAGTTAATTTCCCCCCTCTTGTTGTTCTGTCTGGTGTATGTCATTCACGGCTATACGCTGTCCTCTTGGGGTTTGTTGCCGCCGCACATTGTTCGTCATAACGACGGAATTATTCTGCGGAGGTAAAAATGCGTAACGGTCGACTTCATTTGTTATGGCGGTCACCTTGTTGGCTGCGTGGAGTGACGGCGTTTTCCGTCAGTGTCCACTGAGCGTGGGCATTTTGCCCGGCAATCTCGTCACTCTTTTTTTTTTGTGTTTGTTTCTGTTGGTGCTCCTTATGTGCTTGGGTTTTTCTCTAAGTTACACACCAACTAGCACAGCAAGAAGTTCTGCGGAGTTATGTAAACTTTCACTTCAATGCAATGAGCTTCGTCCCTAAAAGTGGTTGAAAGCACCCTTCCTCCACACGTACGCACGCACACACTCACATATACAAAAGAAAGAAAGAAGGAAATAAAGAGAACGAAATAAAAAAAAAGAATGAAATAAAAAATTAATAACTACAGAAAGAAAGAAAGAAGGAAAGGCGGAAAAAAGTAAACAAGGAAAGGAGACGCAAGGAAGGAAAAACGAAAAAAAAACAAAGAAGGAAAGCGAGACGAAAGAGAAAAAAAGAAAGAGCGGCTTGTCGCTGGTTTAACTTGTTATTCAGGCTTTCTTTGCATGCGTTAGTAAAACTTTTCTGAAAGGTTTTTTTTTTTTTCGGACCACTGTACTGAAAATCCGAAGTGACAGCCAGACTGATTAAACTAGCAGGTTGTTTTGCACATCAGCTTCTATCGTATTCTACTCAAGCAGAATAACGTCGAAAGGGAGAATTGATGACTGTCGTCATAAGGCTGCTTCAAATGATCGAAAGTGTTGACGCCGCCTCTGCTTGCAGCTTTGATATCGAAGATCGTCCTGTGATCGATTTTAGCGTCACGCGTAATCCTCTGAGTGTAGCTAGAATTTATTCCATATTGGCGCGTGCATTCACGGCCGGTGACAGCGGATGCTGGCATTCCAAATTCTCGATCTGTCGTCGGATACACATGCTGCGGAACGGTCGACAGCCCTTATGTGCGACAGATACGGTGATGACAATAGACAGTGGCGCACGCTATTTCTGTCTTCCTGCGCTATAATGCTGAGAGGCAACTGATTCGCACAATTGAGCGTTCACTCTCAGAACAATAATATCAGCGCCGGTATTAACAAATGAACTCGGTGTCAGAGGCTTCGGCCTTAATCAGACGTCCTAGTACGGCGGCCCTTTTTGCGCAATCATATATTACTTTGCATCGAATTATTTTTTTATTTTATCTATTTGATACTGTCGACCCCGTGCTTGGGGTCATTACAGAGAGGGTGACACAAAGTACATAACCTTCGCACAAAAAAAATTCAAAAGCACTTATAAATACGAGATGAATAACGAACAATAAAAAATAAGAAACAAACAACAGTGACAACACACATAAAAATCAACGAATAAATGCTTACAACAGAATTCAGCACGCATCACTACAAAGAAAACCATCCAATGCATTTTCGAAATCCACATGATGTTGTTTGTTGCACAACCGCATTGGGTAAACTATTGCACATATCTATTGTGTCTGCGAAAAAGGAGTGGCGGAAAGCATTCGTGCGTGTGAAATAAGGTTGAATTGCTCTACTATTATTAAGACGATCACATCGCCTTCCAGGGGGCTGAATATATAAATCCTTATTTATCTTTGCCCGCTTATAAGCTTAAAAGAAATTTGAGGCGATGTTTTCGCCTGCGATATTCCAAAGACTCAAGCTCACAGGACTTTAACAAAGCTGTGACTGAGTGTGTGCGTCGGTATCTACCGCATATGAAACGGACTGCTAATTTTCGTATTCGTTCAATTTTTGTCCACAACACCTTCTGGTGAGGCGACCATACAATACTAGCGTACTCTAAGACAGGACGTATGAATGTTTTGTAAGCAGTTAGTTTTACATCTGGTGTGACATGTTCCAGTTTTTTTTTTAGGAAATACACTTTTTGTTTTCCTTAGAACAGATGTTATCGATATGCGAGTGCCATTTCAATGTGTGCATAATACTGACTCCTACGTATTTGAAACAATCGGCATTATTTAAAAAGTGAGTTCCGATGTGATACATGAATGACGATTCCCGCCCACTAGAATGAATATGCGTATAAATGTCGTCTTGCTATAGTTTATTTCCATGTCCCATATTATACACCACTGATCTCATGCCTGTAAGCACCTGTTCAGATTAATTTGGTCACCTTCACAAGTAACTAGGGAATTCTTTACATTCACTCTTTATTTAGCTATAGAATCCATACCGAATGTCCACCGAGTGATCGTAATTCTAAAAATAACCTTTTACTCAAAGTAACGTGCTTCTAAATGAGCAGGTTATTTTCACAGTTCCCGCACCTAACATCAGCACATACATCGCACACGCGAGCGTGCCCCCGCTGCCCACATGAAGAAAGTCGCAACCCGGTCGCGGTATTGTGCGAAGTTAGTAAACGTCAAAGAACTCCGGATAATCGAAATATCATGCCTCATAATCACGTTGCGTTTTTTAGCGAGCACTACACGAACTGGACGACCAGACTCTTTCGGAAGAAAGAATCCTGCGCTATACCGACAGGGCTCTCTATGTCGCAGAAGAAGGCTGTGAAGGCGCTCCTGCGCTTCTTGCGTTCAACCGGTCTGTACAAACGACTGT